CAGGATCAGGGGCCGCTCCACGCGGCTCCCTGAAGCAGCCGCATGGCCCCCCTCCATCTCCTACGTGTAGGGGCAGCCAGAGGGCTCCACTCTGAATGCTGCCCGCTGCCCCAAGCGTCGGCCCTGCAGTTCCCATTGGCCGGGAACCGCAGCCAATGGGAGCTGCAGGGGCAGTGCCTGCGGACGGGGTACCGTGTAGAGCCGCCTGGCCACGCCTCCACGTAGGAGCCGGAGAAGGGACATGCCGCTGCTTCCGGGAGCCCCTTGAGATAAACGCCGCCCGGAGCCTGCACCCCTGAGCCTTCCCCCGTGCCCCAACCTCTGCCCCAGCCCTTATCCCCCTCACATCCTCCAAACCCCTCAATCCCAGCCTGGAGCACCCTCCTGCACTCCAAACCCCTCATACACAGCCCCATCCCAGAGCCTGCACCCCCTCCTGCACCCCAACCCCAATTTTGGGAGCATTCATGGCCCGCCATATAATTTCTATTCCCAGAAGTGGCCTTCGGGCCAAAAAATTTGCCCACCCCATATCTAATTCTACAAAACTGGCCTGTTTCCAGGTTTGCTCAGGGAGCAAGGGACAAGATGAGCTGCCAATTAACTGTGCAAATGCCATGTCCTGCATATGTGCTGCAAACCTCTGCTGATCACGTCTCCCCCCTCCCCTGCTATGGAGCATCCAGGCTGAGCGGGGCATTCGGCACCTGTAGAACACCATGTGCCTGAGGATGGCATTATGGAGCAATCCCACCGCCCCCACCAATCCAGCTGAGAGGGACATCCAGCTTCCCAGCAACTGCAGAAAACTGCCCATTCTAAACTAAGCTTTTCTGTTGGCTGGCTCGGCACACCTGTAACACCCAGAATTCCTCACGGCAAGTGCTCTGTTGGGAGGGCAAGCTGGCCCACGCTGGTCCACTCCGTGGCGCTGTTTCACGTGTGGAGGCAGTTTTACAAAGTGCCCTTTAAAATAAGATCTCGCTCATTCTCCGTTTGCCCAGACATGGCCTCCCTCCCCCAAACCTGCTGCACAGGCCCAAGACACCTCGCGCTGCAGACGTTCCTGTCACCCGGGGGGGGTGGAGTGTAGAAACCCCCCACTGTGGCAGTCAGGCAGGGGTTAACGGATGGAGTAATTACTCCCCCAGATGTGACTAAGTAGCTGCCTGGCTGGGAACTACGGTTCTCAGGCAGAGCGGGGCGGCTGCCGGAGAGGCTGGGGACGATCTCAAGGAGGTTCCTCAGCAGAAGCCTGGAAAGGAGCCACCTAAGAAATGGACCCAGAAGCCTGCCCTGGGGAGTGGGGGGTAAGACTGCTGGGCTGTAGCAAACCGATGTTTCTTACCCTCCTACAAGGTGAGGAGGAGAGGCCAGGTTGGCCCCTGTTGCCAGGCCGTGGAGAGACTGCTAGATAGAGTGAAGGAGACCCGGAAAGCTGGGAGTCTGGGCTGTGGAAAGGCCAGGGTGTCCCAATGAGTCCTGAGATACGGAGGGGAGGAACGGCCCCCTTCACACACCAGCACCAGAACGTGGGGAAAAGGGCCGAGTCCCACATTCGCCCCCTCACTGCTGCAAACGCAGGACTAGGGTTAAAATCAGCCTTCTCAAAGAGAGGAGAGATTGTGGGTTATTTACCTTCCCCTCTCCCCCAGGAAGCTAGGGTACCGTCTAATATGGGAATAGGGCCGGAGACACCCACATCTCGGTGGGATTAATGTCACAGCACTGCCAGAGCATTGCTGACTTCACATGGGGACCCAGCTGCTGAGACATTTGCAAGCATCAGGTTTTACTCTCAAATGTCTGCATCAATTCTCACACACACACACACACACACACACACACACACACACACACCAGGAGGAAAGGAAATAAACACTTTTATACTGAAAATGATATAGGCACCCCTTATACAATTAACCCCTTGGGTTATGGCAACAGCAGAGTCCACACCAAACAGCAGCACAATCATCTAAACAGAGATTGGTAAATAAAACAATTAAAAAATCATCATCAACAATTGATTAAGTGCCAGCCCCAGTCTGGAAAATTAGCACATGGGTGCTGATCAGCTAGGAAGGTGTAGCCACCAGAGAGCACCATGTTTTACAACCCAGGACAACCTAACCCCTCGGGTCCAGCATCTGGTCTGCTACGCTCCATTGAAATAGCCATGGAACATCATGAGATGATACGGTATACATATGGTTGCTACTGAAGTCCATATTGTACATAATGAGGTCCATATGATAGATATGGAGGTCCATATGGTAGATCAGTGGGGGGTCCCCTTGGCAGTTGATGAAGTACATACCCAGCTGGGTTTTGCCCCCCAAGCACCTGATACCTGGATATTGGTGGAGGTGACCAGCAGGTCTAGCAGCAATGTGGATAATTTGTGGCCTATATTTTCTCTCCCATGCTTTGCTTGGCGTTCTGCTCTTTCAGCCTGCGTGACACAGAGGTATCGACTGCCATGGCAGGGTGCACAAGATGGAGCAGAGATTAAAGATCAGAGGAGATTTTACTCCACCTCCTGTTGCCAGCCATCCTCCTGTGCTTGCAGTGCTGTCAGCAACAGTGAGGCAAGGAGAGGGTGCAGGAGGAGCAGACGGACTCCGAAGAGGCAAGGATCCTGATCCAGAATCCCTAGTTACAAAGACAAAGGGACGCCGCACCCCTCGCCACACAGGAATATATGGGAAAGCAGCAAAGTTACTTCCCTTGCTCAGTTTAGTGTCGGGTTGACAGCCCTGGGGGCTGAAGACCCTAGCAGGTCTTCAGGGTACGGCAGGACAAACTTCCCTGCACTGTCCCAGCCAGAACGGATGTCTGGGGAATTCAGTCTTCTTGGCTCAATCAGTCCGTGGTCTCTCTGAGGCTGCCAAGGAGGGGCCCAGTTAATGCTGGTTGCCCTGGCGGACCCCCTCCATTCGGAACTGGAGTGGGATCCTGAGGGGCCGTTGATGTCAGTGGGAATAGTCCCAATGACACCAGTGGGTGCCGGATCAGGGCCTACTGGCACTGGGCGCTCATCAGATGGGAGCCACTTTCAGGCTCTACCAGTGAGCAGGATGGTTCCTAACCTGAGCATTCCCATCAGCTGCTTCTTAATGGCATCCTTACGCTGCTCCTGCTGCCTCGGCCCCACAGCTGCCTTGGACAAACACGGGGCCAGACTCTGCTCTCCCTGACCCTGCTGCAAACCAGGACTAACTCCCCAGAGATTAATGGGGCATTCTCCCTCCCAGGGGAGTCACTGGGGCTTGTGTGGGAATTTGGCAGCTCTCCGGGACCGCAGGAAGCTGAAGGCAAGTGTGCTGTGCCAAGCGATAGTGCAGCTAGGTCACTGGCTGTGGAGACGATAGCAGAGCGGGGCCTGAACCCAGCCTCTGACCCACACACCTCAGAATTTCAGGCGGTGTCAGTCTGAACCCACATGTGGGCTCCCTTTGGGCCAAGGCGCAGCTCTTTATCCAAACACCCTCCCGCTCTGACGCGTTCAGAATGCAGGGCCAGCTACGGCAGCTCGGTGCCATCCCCGGCTAGAAGAGCATTGATGGGCCAGATTCCCACTGATGCAAGTCAGCATCGCTTCACTGACTTCAGTACAGCTACAGCCCATTGACCTCAGTACAGCTACTCCCGTTTACAGCAGCCGGGACCTGGCCCATTGACCCCAGTACATCTACTCCCATTTACACCAGCCGGGACCTGGCCCATTGACCCCAGTACAGCTACTCCCATTTACACCAGCCGGGACCTGGCCCATTGACCCCAGTACACCTACTCCCGTTTACAGCAGCCGGGACCTGGCCCATTGACCTCAGTACAATTACTCCCATTTACACCAGCCGGGACCTGGCCGATTGACCCCAGTACAGCTACTCCTGTTTACAGCAGGTGAGGGGCTGGCCCTGAGTTTGTAGCTTTCATGTCTGAGAGCAGCTGCCAGCATCTCCCCAGCAGGGGGCTTCTCTGTGGCTGTGCTTGGTCAGCCCTGCTCCTGTTGCTATTATCAGCCCTTGGACCATGGCAGAGATGGCCCCTTTCTAATCGGACAGCCTTTGAACCCCACCCACGGGCTGCAGAACCCCACAAACGGTTAGAGAGCCAGGAGCGGAGCGTCTTTTCATGCTTGTATCCAAATGGAGCCCAGAGTAAACTGATCAATGGGTGGCGGCGACCGATCTCCACAGGGCCTGATCCCAGAGGGCCTTACTCAGGATGTGTCTACACAGCACCAGCTGGCATGGGCTAGCCTACCCGAGCTGGCTAGCGTGGGTAACAGCAGTGAAGACAGAGCAGGAGGGGCGTCAGCATGGGTAGTGCAGCCCGGCCCAGAGCCTGGCCACGCATTCTGCTCAGTAGCCTGTGCTGCGTTGGCTTCATGGCTACGTTACCAGCGCTAGCTGGATTCGCGCTGGCTCAGGTAGGCTGCCCTGTGCCCAGCTTTTGCTGCGCAGACAGATCCTCAGCCTGCAGTGGGAGTTGTCCCTGAGTGAGGGCTCCAGGATCGCGCCTGTAGAAAAGCATCCTTGGGAATGATCCATTCCTTCCCCATGCATCAGCGGTCACCCAAGAGCCACCAGATGGAACAAAATGGGGGTGGTTTGAGGCTCTTTAAAACAATTAACAAGCAAAGGGGTGGCCTGGAACTAAAGCATGGAAAGCAAAGGAGTCAATATTCAGAGTAAAAGTCGCTGGATTTGGTTATAGATAGAAAACCTGGCGCTCGAAATACTGCCTCAGCCCGATCACCTTCCGGCACATTTGTGAGTGCACATTTGCACTAGCATTTCTTGCATTTGTATAAATGCATGCACAACTGCAGGTCCATGTCCATAATTGCAATGAATGCAAAGCCGATTGATTGCAGATGCATAAACATGACTAACAAATGCATGCACAATCGCCGGTGCACTTACACAATTACAACACCCTCAGGCACAATTGCAGGTGAACTTCGAGATGTGCATTTGCCACCTGTGCTTGTGCATGTGCATTTTTCACTCTTGGACTCTAGGCCTTATTTTTTCCTCAGTCTTGCCCTTGGATTGTAAGTAACTGGGAGCCCTGTGTCATTATTCAAATTCAGACTCTACCAGTCCTGCCTGGGACGACTCGGTCTCTCCAAGCCCAGGAGGAGCGATTAGCAGTGGGAGAGGCACAGGAACGCCGGCTCTTACAAATGTGCCTGTGAGAGGTTTTGAGGGTGTGAGAGTCGCAGGGAAGGGCGCGGGAGGGAAACCGAGCGCCGCCTCATTTCTGTTTCTGCTCCACTTGCTGTAGGCGCCTCGTGAGGTCGTCAATCCGAACATTCTTCAGGTGGAGCAGGTGTTCCAGCCGCCGCACCTTCATCTGCAGGATCTGAGCAAAGGGAAGCACACGCTGGCTGTGGTGATCGGCCTTTTTTTTAAAGAGAGGGGCCCGAACCAAGCCCTTCGTTCCAGCCCCCTGGGCCTTGCAGGCTGGAGCCAGTTCTGAATTCTGCAGCTTGTGCCCGTCTCTGCCCATTTCCACACGTGTCCTCTTTCTCCTACCTAGCTCTTATCAAGGACTTTTCATCAGTAAACCTCAAAGCACTTTGCAGAGGAGGTCAGTATCATGATCGGGGCAGAGATGAGCTCAAGGTCACCCAGCAGGCCAGTGGCAGAACCAGGACTAGAACCCAGGGTGCCCGAGTCCTGCACTCTACCCACTAGGCTACACTGTTTGTCATGAAAAAGAACGCAACATTTTATGTATATCTCGAGCTTTTTAAGCCAATGGCAAGCTCTTGAGGCTCAACAGGATCTTTGGGGTTGGCAGTAACAACCGTGTCCTTTGGGGCTGGCACTGGCAGTAACGACTGTGTCCTTCTTCCATCCAACATGCAACCAGACCCTCATTTCCACGAGTCCCCAGTAGGTGACACAAGATCAGTTGGATCACCCAGCTCTTGGGTATCAGATACGGTCATAACAACACTCGACCTTCAAAGACCGCCATAAAACGCACCTTCTTCTGCAGAGCTTTGCAAGAATGGCCCAGGCAGGACTTCAGTGTCTTCACCCCCTTGGGACCGTGCCATCACCTGGGGGCTTATGCTTGTCTGAGCTGTTTGGTCTGGGTCTGAACCTGACTGCAGGCTTCTTGGAGCCACGGCTGCATTTCATATGTGAGTACAGAGCCCGTCTGACCAGCAGGCCAGGTGGATGCGCAGGGAGCCCTGCACATGAGCCATGATGGGCTACGGCTTACTGAAATCTTGGCCTTGTCTGCACTAGACTTATTGTCCTACCACTTCCCACCATTGCAAGCCCCAGCACAGCACTCCACAGGGCCCTACCCGCCCCAGCGTTTTAACCACAGTGGGTCTGTCTCCACTGCAATCGGAGTCTGTCTCCACTGCAATCCACTAGCTTTGCTCTAGCTCGCTCACATACCAACAGCAGCCAAGCCCCAGAAGCACGGGTGTCAAGTGGCTAGCCTGCACCAAAGCCCACGCTGCCATAAGAACATAAGAACAGCCAGACTGGGTCAGACCAAAGGTCCATCTAGCCCAGTATCCTGTCTTCCGACAGTGGCCAATGCCAGGTGCCCCAGAGGGAATGAACAGAACAGGGAATCATCAAGTGATTCATCCCCTGTTGCCCATTCCCAGCTCCTGCCCTGGTTTCACTGCTAGTGGTACCCGAACTACATGGGCTGCAGTCACACATCTGAGTGAAGTGTGGACATACCCTGGGTGAGGATTCATGGTTCTTGAACCCAGACCTATGGGGCCCTGGGCAGGCGGCATCACCAGGCAGCCTTGGGAGCATGGACCATGGCTCTGCCTACATCCTGGGAGACCAGTCACTGCAGGAAGTGCTGCCCATGGTAGAAATGACTGGCAGCTTCTCCCGTGAGCTCTCATTTGCCCAGACCTACTATTTAAGCCTGGAGGGAGTAGCAGGAAGTTGTCTGAGCAACAAGGAGGTCTGACTTGCAGCTGAGATAGACCCAGCCTTGTTCCTGACTCCTCGCCCTGACCTCTGGTTCATGGCTATTGATTCTGGCTTGACCCTTGGCTCCAGACCCCAGCTACCAACTCTGGGTCGACCCCTCAAGCCTGACCGCCTACGGCTCCAACCGCTGGACCTGGCCGCCCACACCCCGGTTCCTGGCACCCTGGGTCATCTACGCTTGCGTGGAGCTGTTTAAGATGCTGGCGGCTGGTCTACACGAACGGTCCCACCATTGCGACTAGTGGAGGAGCGGAGTTGGAGGCAGCGAAGGTGGGTCAGTTCAGGAAAGCCAGGCTTGTGCAGTCACCTCCCGGCTTGCTGAGGACTCCCGTCCCCTGGGCATCATGGGAGAATGGGTGTGAAGGAGGGGCGTGGACGAGGAGTGGGTATTCCCTGCCCAGAGGGTGGGGTGGATGAGCTGTGGAGGTGGCTGTGGGCAAAGCCTGGCATACTTTCAGAGGATGCCCTGTCGTTCCACAGACAGCACGCGAATTGTCCTCACCTGGACCGTCTCTTGACAAGCCAGCAGAGCCTGCTCCCTCTCTGCTAACTGAATGCGAAAGCTGGTGTCTCCCGGCAGTGCCTGGGCATAGCCTTGCTGGCCCTTGTTCATCCTGGGGAAAGAAGTAAAAGCCAGAGTGTGGCAGGGTGACAAGCGCAGTGCCTCCTGCTGGTTGGCCAGGGGATTAGCTCTTCCAGCCCAGAGAGCCCTCTGCAGGCTGGTGTCTCGCGTGCCGCTGGCCCTGTGTCCCTCCCTGACCCCGGTGCCCTTCTACCTCAGGGTTCTGTCCCCCGCAGCAACCCACAATCTGGGTCTCCCCACCCAGGGGAACCCCCAACCCTCTATCCCCACCTTGCCTCGGTGGCTACTGCCAGTCTCCATCTAGCCCCCGCTCCCTGGGGCAGACGGCCGTCTGTAAACCCCTCATCATCGGCAAGGGGGGTAGGACCCGCTGCCTCTGGGCTGCCCATCTGCAGCCCCAGTACCCTTTGTGGGCCCTTAACTCAGCCTGCAGCCTGGGGCTTTGCTAGGCTGGAGCTCCCCAGCTCCCTCTGCCCTTCCCCAGCACTGCTCCACCCTGGGTCCCCTCCTCAGCTCCCAGGCAGCCAGGTCCTGCTCTCTCTCTAGGAGCTAGAGAGGGTGTTTTCTGGCTTCTGGCCCACAGCCCTCTTATAAGGGTCAGCTGGGCCCCGATTAAGCTGGCCACAGCTGTGGCTGCTTTCCCAATCAGCCCAGCTTTTCCCAGTCACAGCCCTCTCCAGGGCTGCTTTAACCCCTTCAGGGCCGGAGTGGGGTGACCACCCCGCTACACAGAGATATAAACCTAGGAGGAGAAGAGATTTGCCCACACTGAGCTCCGTCAGGTGGGGGAGGGTCCCCTCTGGCAGGGGTGGGAGCCCCTACATGGGGGCATTTAGAACGAGGCTGGCTGCAGCGCTGGTGACAGGACTGCCCTCCATCAGCTGCCCGCTGGACTAGATGGGCAGCAGTCTCTAAAGGGAAGCAGTGGCTGTGCCATCATCTGGGCATTTCAAACTGGAAGAAACAATAGGCCCCATCTCTCCTTCCGCGGGTCACATTCAGCCTTGGCATCAGAGCGCCCATCTCCCACTGGCCCGAAAGCACCGGGGCTGAGTGAATTGAGGAGCCTGATTCTCCCCTCCCGTGCACTGATGTAATCAGGAGGAACTCCAAAGCCATCAACAGGGTTACACCAGGTGAGGGGAGATTCAGGCTTTGCCTCTCTTACTTACATAAGCCACCCTGGCCCACTGGGAGACGTAAGGGAGGCCAAGGCAGACATCATGTTCCCTCTGCCTTCATCGGGACCTCACAGTTTAACCATTTCAGCGAGTGGCAGCATGGTCCTTGGATGTTTTGCTTTAGGAACGGCCCCTGCTGCCCACTGGGATCTGGGCTGGCAGCAGAGAGGGCTACACACAGCGGCGTGAAGCCGTGGCAGTGCCAGGCCTCTGCAGAGCGGGGGTTAGCCCAAGCAGGTGCCTGCTTCCCCTGCGCCCTTCGTTGTGAGGACACAGAGCGGCTCAGCTGAGACGAGCCCCGGCTGCAGCAAGAAGCAGAAGGGGTGCAGGGCGCTGAGCAGTGCCGGGGGGTCCTGGCACACGCTAAGGGCCCGATCCTCAGCCGGGGTAATTCAGCCTCGCTCTGTGGATAATAGTGGAACTTCGCTGACTTACCCCCGCTGAGGGTCTGGGCCCGTGTGCAAATATGTGACAAACGTATCATGGTGATTTCCTCTCTTTGCTCAGGTGGGCCTTTCCCGGCCATAAACCTCGGGGGCAAAGCTGCCCCAGCCAGGAAGGGTCTGCATTTCACTCCCCTTTGGGGAGTGTTGGATTGACAGCCCTGCAGAGCGGGGGCCTCCATTTTCCCATAGAGCAGTACAGCCCAGGGGGCAGAAGGGCCAGCTACCCACCCCCCCTCATGGAGAATTCCTTGGGAGGGCTCCCAGCCAAGTAACCAGGAAGGGGCTGTAGTTCTAAAGGATCACGCGGGGCTCGTATCAAGAAACACTGTGGTCAGTTTGTGGGGTGATCCCCGGGCAGACTTTACCTTTCCGCTCGTGGGGACTGCTGCACGTAGATCCCTGCGGCATTAGTCTTTGGCTTCGACGAATAGCCTGGGTAACACAAACCATGTCACGTTACAGCCGCACACCAAGCGGCAAGGGCCCAACTATGCCCTCCGGTACCCCGGAGCCTCAGCAGGGGCAGAACTGAGCCTTAGCTGAATACTGGGAAAGTGAGGCCTTAGGACCCTGGGCAGCTTAGACACTGGCCGATTGGCTGGGCGTGGCCAGTGAGTTCTGGCCTCTGGGAGCAGGGTCAGGATAGAACTACTGTCTGGAGCAAGGAACTGCCCCTGTCGCAAGTCCCAGTGACTCCCCCAGGGAGCAGCACAGAGGAGGTGACGCACACAGACACTGGGGTACTTTCCTTGTGTGCCAATCTCACGTCAGGCTCCAGGAGCTCACAGGTATGGGCTGGGAGTCGTAAGGCTTCAGAGGGGCAGCTTTGAATTCCAGTGGGGCTAACAGGAAGGGTCTCACGCTCGAGCCCACTGCGGGAGATGGCACCTTGCTAGCACCATCCATCTGAAAAGCTCACGTACACCCAGTGCTGTCGGTCAGCATTGCCGTTATCCCTGCCTCACCGAGCACGTGGAGCGGGGAAGTGACTGGCAGAGCTGGGTCTGCCCCCAGATCTCCTGGTTTACGGCTTTGTTCTTTAACCCAAGACCGTCCTTCCCTCTCCTGGTCCCCTTAGAAAACGCTCCGAGGACTTGCAGACTGCGGATTCCTAGAGGCCGAGCAGCTGGTGAAGAAGCCACTTGACCTATGAAATCTCTGCAGGTATTTATAGAGCTGCAGCATCGTAATATCTGGACTCTTCAGCAGCGGTAATTAATTGAGCTGGTCTTGCGGTTAAGGCACTGGGCTGGGACTCAGGAGATCCAGCTCAGTTCTTGGCTCTGTCACAGGCCCTGGGTAAGTCACTCAGGCCCAGATCCTCCAAGGTATTTAGGCTCCTGACGCCCATTAATTTCAGTAGACATTAGGAGTCCCTCTGTGTGCATCAGCTTACAGGAGATAATCTTCCCATTCTCCAGCTCCTCGGCTGCTGTGTCTTTGAGTCGACGCTACGTCTGTACAGCACCCAGTACAATGGGGCCTCAAACGCCATCAGCCCTCTAGGTGCTACTGTAATGCAAATCATGTATCTTCCTGACACCCCTGCAATGCAGGACAGTGCATCCCCATTGTACAGGTGGGAAACTGAGGCACGGGGAGACTGAGTGACTTGCCCAGGGTCACAGAGCCGTGTGGCAGGGCTGGAAGCCAGCTCCCCCAGAACACACCTACTGCTCAGAGAGACTCCTGTCACCCCTACCTGTTTCCATATGGCCGTTCTCATGGAGTGCATAGCGTGTGCCCAGCTCCTGCACAGAGAATCAGAGAGAACACAGGGTTCAAGTGAAAATGCCTTGCAATCCACCGTCAGCTTCCTCCTGAGAGAGGCCTGGCAAGGCTTCCATAGGCGGCGAGATGGCAATGATCAGGATGTTGCAGAGATGAGTGGGTCTGAGGGAAGGCAGAAGCCAAGGTGGCACCCAGGAAATGACATGGGCGGAGCAGCTCTGATCCCATCCAGTAGAGGGCAGTGGCGCCCCCCCCAGCCAGTTCTTTGTACAATATCCGATAACAGGTGGGACTGGAACACTTTGGGGGCCTTAGGCTGAAAGCCTTGCACTGCCCCATCAGTGGAAAGAACGAACGAGTCCTTTAGGAAAGCCATTGAGGATGGGGGTCCCTATAAACAGAGCCGCGTGGGGTTTCACAGGTCAGACGGGGCCATTATGACTATTGAGTCTGAGCCAGGGGAAAGGTCCGCACCCAGTGATTTCTGCATCAAGCCCAGCCCTTCTGCTGGAGCTATAGCACAACGTGAAGAAAGACATCCAGCCGGGATTTAAGGCCCTTGAGTGATGGGGAACCCAGCATGTCACTAGGGTAGGTTGCGCCAACAGTTAGTTAGCCTCCTCGTTTACAAACTGTACACCTCATGTCTAGCCGGCATTTGTCTAGCTTCAGCTGCCAACCACGGGGTCTCGTTCTGCTACTGAGAGCCCTCTGCGAACAGAAACCGCTTCCCCAGGAAGGCCTTGCAGGGTTTTGTACAGTTAACTAGAGCTATTGGTCAGAGAAATCTGGTCATCAATTGAAATCCCCCCCCCTTTTTTTTTAAGTCTAATAAAAATAGGTCTGGTCTAGTCTCACTCTGGTTGCTAGGACACCGGTGTCCACACTTCCAAACCGCCACCCCCACTGGCACAAATGGGCCAGCTCACTGCCAGTCTCAGCAGGGAGGAGATGGACTGAACGGGCCCTGGAGACAACACTGCCCTCAGCCCGGGGGTGGGTCCCTCCAGCACAACTTGCCCCTCTAACGCCTGAGCTGTAGCCAGCAGCGCTCACTCGCTGGGGCTGTCAAGCTCCCACTGAAGAGGGGACGAACCGCAGTTGCTGTGATGATAAGACACTAAGTCTATGTGCCTGATTGCAGAGAGTGGCTGTGTGGTGAGGGAGGGAGCGGCCGCAGAGATGCTGCAGTCCGGACAAGCGGTGAGAGAGTTGTCACCTCTGAAACACCAGTGAGTGGAGCTGCCAAGGCAGGGCAATCGCATAATGACTGGTGTATTAGCCATGCACATGGAGCACATTTCACAGCTCCGGCTATGTGTGACGGAGAAGAGAGTCTGGCCCACTCTGTATACTGGTGTCTGCCCTAAGGCCCAGGAGTAAGATCCATCTCTCTCCAGTGCCCCTTCAGTAACCCTTCATTAGCCTTTGCCACTCAGTTTCCTCCTTCCTGTGTATCTATTTCAACATCAGATGTATCAGCTAAATTGTCAGCTCCATAGCATAACACCGGTGCCCTCTGCTGACTCTCCGAGGGATAACAGATATATTGACAAGACCTGCCTCTCACCCTATCCCCAGTCTGGTAGGGTCGGCTGGGGCGCTCTGTTCCTAGCCCTGAACTCTCCGCACTGGCAGCTGGGCTTTCTCTCGACCCTAGTGGTCCGAGTCCGATTACCACACTGCCTGGAGCGCTGCTTGCGTTCAGCTTTTGAGCGATGGTTATTTCTATTTGATTTCCATCACTCGCTTGCCAATAGCACATTTCTGGTGGCAGCCATAGCTGTTTTATTTGCCGCCATTCCCTGTGAGCGGCTCAGAATAATTACAATTGTGCACTTGTTTAATGCCTTCTAGCTGAGGAGCTCAAAGCCCTGTACATACACGGGATGGGGTGTATAAACCACACACAGGTAGACAAAGGGTTAACGGGAGCTGGTGGGCCCAGTTAGCTCTCCCATTTCCACCTGCGGGAGAGAGGGTTCGGCATAATTCATAATCATAATCATAGAATATCAGGGTTGGAAGGGACCTCAGGAGGTCATCTAGTCCAACCCCCTGCTCAAAGCAGGACCAACCCCAACTAAATCATCCCAGCCAGGGCTTTGTCAAGCCGGGCCTTATAAACCTCTAAGACCCAGCTGATTCCCTCAGGGAAGGAGCTCAGAGTAGGAGAAGAAAAGAGCCAGAAAGGGGGAGACATGGGAGTGAGAGACCCAGGAGCAAAGGGGTCTGGGGTCCCTGCTGCCTGGGAAAGGAGCCAGGAGGAAGCTGTAGCAGTGGAGCCCTGTGGTGGGCCCTGCAATGGGAGGTAGCCCTGTATATCAGCGTATGTGACCGGGCTGGCGGGCTGAGTGACTAGAACCAGACCACCCCAGGGCCTGAATGGCCATCGGATGAAGGGGAAGGTCTTGCAATGCCATGAACAGCCACAGGGGAGCGTGCTGACTGGTGAGTCACTATTCTGCAATAAATAAATGAATTAACCCCCACCCACTCACTGGGAGAGTCTAGCCGGCTCATTTTGAAAATGGGGAAACTGAGGCACACAGCACATCTGTGAGCGTCAGGAAGAGAACTCATGCCTCCCAGTCCCTGCGATGACTCCTACACTTCCTGCACTTTAACCATGCTCCTTCTGAATGCAGTTTAATGGCTCTGGGTTTGTAAATTACACCTACTTGTCACAGCCGTAGGCCGAGCTCCAAAGTGCTCACCCAGCATTTGCTCCCAAGGGAGTTTGCCTGAGCAAGGACCTCAGCACATGGCCCATATACACAACAGGATCCTACACAACGTTTGACCATCTGAGCCGCCCGCTGTCCCTCGAGCACCGCTGACCTGATATGTGCCAGACGCCACCTTGCTCTGCTTCTGCTTCTCCTCGATTTTCTGCCGCAGTGGGAGCAGCACCAGCTCCACCACGCCAGGCGTGCACTGTACGATCTTCCGGATCAGATCTTCCGGGATGGAGAAATTCAGCTTGTTCAGCACCTTCCTGCAAGGGCACAAACCGCCCCACGGTGGGGGAATGGTCAAACCACAGTATGGGCACCCGCTCTGCAGAACTGGCTGGAGTTCCTATAATAGTCTCGTGTGGAAGCATCGCTCCTGGACTAAGGGGGCCTGATCCTCAGCCGGGGTATGTGGGTGTAGCTCCCTCAAAAGCAATGTAGTGACACTGATTTACCCCAGCGGAGGACCATGCTCAGCATGCAGAGGAAGGCTGCACAGGACTTGGGGGGAGGTCAGAGAGGTCTGAAGTCCAAGCCACTGTTTGGCGTTGGCAGAGAGTGTGAGAGCAGAGAAGCTGCATGGTTTTGGCAGGTGGGTGTGAGGTCAGAAAGATGCAGAGGAGTGAGAAAATAACAAGGAAACTGAATCACTGTTTTCCCTATGCATCCCCAGCTCCATGGCCTGACTGCCTCAGCACCGTGCTACGTAAGGGGCACTGAGCGCATGTTTACCTGTTGAGATGGCCCCAGTTGGAGAGTTTCTGTTGCGTTGAATTAGCTGGGACATAATTGTGCATTTCCACCATTTTGGGAAAGTAAAATTTCACCACTTCTGCTGCTAGAACTGCATAGGAAAGAAAAAGAGGAATCAGTGACAGTGCTCGGAGAGGTCAGACTGAGCATCACGCCATGATCTGCATAATGAAAACAATCAGACACCTTTATATATATGGATGCTCTGGAAAGATACAGTATAAACCACAGCCAGGACTAGTTATTGTCTCTCAGAGATTCCAGATCTAAGAGGATCAATTCACAAGTGAAATAGAAGGGTTCCTTACCTCATAGCAACTGGGATTCTACTTCAAGAACTTGTCCAAGTGGATCCCACTCTGGAGCAGACCAGCCCCATGCAGGCAGTGCACACAGTGGTAGATTAGCCACTGGGCCAACGGGGCCTGTGCCCAGGGGCCCCAGCCTATATGGGGGCGCTGGAAAAAAATCTGCCGCCAGATTTTTGCGGGGGCAGAAAGGAGCAAACGGGTTGCGGACTGCACTGGGGGGGCGGAATGGGGCAGGACTGTGGGTGGGACAGGGGTGGGGCTGTGGGGAGGAAGAGGCAGAACAGGGTAGGGCCGTGGGCGGGGCTGCAGGTGGAAGGGGCAAAACGGGAGCAGGACTGCAAGCGGAAGCGGTGGGGAGGGGCCACTCACTTGCTCTGGCCCAGGGCCCTAGGAAACCTTAATCTTTCTCTGAGTGCACACGTGGGACTCGTGCACTTCAGCAGTGAGAGCCACTTGGACCAATACACAAAGAAGAATTCATCTCTTCTAACCAGCAACCCTGCAAACTTGCCCTGGGATCAGAGAGGCATCCAGGTTATTTCCCTTTCATGCATCATCCCCAGCAGTAAACAGTGTTACCAACCCCACACAGTCAAAAATCATAAGCCAGACCCTGAAAAAATTGTGAGATTGGCTTTAAAAAATCAGAAGATTTTAAAAATTAATAAATGTTGGCTCTTTATTTGCCTTGGGTTTTGTTTTTGTTTTTTTTTTTTTCTTTAGTTCTCATGTTTTCAAGCTTTTTTCTGTAACCAAGAGAGCTAGAGACCTACTTTCCTCTTTTTGAAATGGAAGCTGAAGTTCTCACATAGTCAGCTGACTTCAGCCACTGGGGCTTTAAGGAAAACATGAAATATGAGAGTTGCAATAAGTGTGCAAAAGTTGGCAACACCACCTGGTTCTGTTGGCCAAAATTGACCTGTAGTAACACCTGTGCAGCCCCTCTCTTTAGGCGTTGTGGGCAGCTGGCATACATTGAGCCTGCTGTCCCTTATCGCAAGGGTTTGGCCAGATGGCTCCAGGATTGGGGGGCACAGAGGAGACTTAAATCCACCTTTGCAAATAATCCTGAGTTGTGCTGTAAGCAGTCTGGACATAGAGACTAGGAATTTGTCCGCAGTCTCTCACTCACGCACCTCTTTCTTAGTAACCCTAGAGCAATATTATTTTAATTTAGTTTTCCTCTCTGTGAATATTGCTTGATTTTTTTTTAAAATAAACAGAAACTTGTTTTTTAACCAGAGGGTGAAACTGACATTTACCAACCAGTGCAAACCTTACGCACTCCCCCCGCATTCCCCCCAACCCCATCTATCTGCAAATGATAGAGGAGCCTGTCTGTGGTGTTCAGAGCTGGATCCAAACTCTCCCAAAGTTCACTGCATCCCAAGGGTGGATGTGGCCAGTTATAGAAAGAGGGGTCAGCTGTCAAGATCCGAATTGTGTCTAGACTCCCCCAGAGCACTGGCTATTTGGATTCAGGATCCCAGGTCGGTCCCATTACAGCAGAGTCTGGATCCAGGTCTGGACTCCGCCAGAGCTCAGGGTATTTCGATCCAGGATCCCAGGTCGGTCCCACTGCATTCAGGGCTCAAGCACTCCAGTCTGGATCTGGGTCTGGGCTCTCCTTGAGCTCAGGGAATTTGATCGGGATCCATTCCTGGGTCACTCCTAGGCCTCAAGCTGTGGAGTCTGGATCCCGGCCGGACTGCGGCCAGCTCCAGGAGTTTGGGATTTGGCTCCCCCAACCTCCGTCGCTGAAGTCCCGGGTGATGTTCTTCTTGGGGCGGGACAGGGGGATGGCATCCACCCAGCTGTAGAGCTCCTGCAGGCTCTCCTCGTCCAGCTCCCCGTTCGCCATCTGCTCGGCCGCCAGTCGGGCCCAGGCCAGGCCTCTACGCCCCCACGCCTGCGGGGCACGGCCAAGCTCGCCCCTGGCTCTGCCTGCCTGCAGGGCTGGAGGCAGCCATATTGTTTTCCTAGCACCATGGCAACGGCCAGCTAGAAAGGGACACTCAAGGGATTCTGGGAGGTGTAGTCCTCTGCATCCTGAAGAGGCTGGGGGACAACTGTTGCCAGGCAACGAGCTCGCCTAGCAACACAGCAGCGAGCCTGGGAGGCGCCTTAAAGGGGCGCAGCATGCGAGCAGCGCTGAAATGGTGCAGCCGATAACCGGTGCACGGGTCTGGGGGATGAATTAATATTATTATTTGCACCCCGGCAGCACTGCCAATTGCTACCGCCAGCCGCCCACGATCAGGGGTTCTGCTCGGAGCCCCAGCTCTGGCGTGAGCCAAGAATTGCCACGGTCCTGGAACAAAGAGGCTGGGCTGGGGTGTGCGACGGGCCGGGGCCTAGCGATTCAGGGCCTGGAAACTCCCAGGGACAACGCTGCGACCCACAAAGGGCCACGCTAGCCTTGTCCCTCTGGGCCGGTGGCTATTCCAGTGTGATGAACGCACAGCGTCGCTGTGGGGGGAGACACTGCAGCCTCACGACCCTGGTCCTGGTCCCCCAGCCCCAGTTGGTCTTTCATTAGCGATCCACCGCGGAACAGCTTCACCGGGAGAGATTGGATGAGCCCTACATCAGAATAGCTCAGGGGTTGGAGCACTGTCCTGAGAGGCGGGGGACCGCTCTTCAAACCCTTTCTCCCGGCTGGCCGAGAGAGGGGAAATTGAACCTGGGTCTCCTGCATCCCAGGTGAGTGCTCTAACTGCCGGGCTAAAAGGTAGGGTGACCAGATGTCTCATTTTTATAAGGACAGTCCTGATTTTGGGGACTTTTTCTTACATGGGTGCCTATTACCCCCCACCCCCTGTCCTGATTTTTTCACAGTTGCTATCTGGTCACCTTACTAAAAGGTATAAGGTGGGCACCTCCCCCATCTCCTCCTCTGGCCAGATTTGAATGGGACTTGATGCCTCTGAGCACGGACCAGGTCTGCCTGTGACTGACCTGGACACCCGAATGTCTACCTTTCTCTGATTCCTAGGTCGCTCTGGAGCTCCCGTGGGAGATAGGGGGCCCACCCAATGCCTGGTGGGAGGCAGCAGAACTCATGCCCGAAGTCAGAAACAGGGGTGGTGAGAACTCTGAAAACCTAGGCACCGAGTGAATTTGGGTTTGACAAGAGTTTTGTGGATCACAGAGGAGCCAAAACTGGGACTTAGGTGCCTCAGGCCAGGGTTTAGGTGCCTAAGTACATTTGTGGATCCCACCCTGTATCTAGCCCTGTTGGTTGTGGACAAACACTTTACAATGTGAGCCCTAAAGTCTCCGAACATACGGCAAATAAAAAGGCCCCACATGTATTATTTTTAATATCTCATGATTTTTGAACACTTAGGGTTAGCAATACTGCAGCTCTAGTCTCTGGCTGATCAGGGCCCCTTGTGCTGGGCACTGGACATACACCCAGTGAGAGACAGCCCCTGTCCTGAAGAATTTACAGTCTGATTATTATTTCTAGCTACAAGGTGCTACCGCCATCCCTGATTGCAAAACCCATAGTTACCAGGCTCTGATGTATGTGGCTGACCCTCTGAAGTGCTGTTAATTGTCAGCTTGGCTGCTGAGAGTGTGTGAAGAAGCAGAATCAAAAACAGGAGGTTTTAAATGAATAGTAAAATGTTTGGTTAGCTGGTCATTCCCTCCTTCCCCCACTGATACGCCCCTCTGTTGTTCTGGCTGAGAATGGGAGCAAGGTAGCTGATATAAATGATCTTCTCTTACTATTTCTGGGGTCATGCAGAAGCAGGAAGTACCTGAAATTCTACAGAGACTGGATTACAGTCCATTTAACCTGCTGGTCATCTGTCTGCTGCCTCAATTTCCCTCTTAGGCTCCCGTCCCCATATATGCCTGCAGACTCTGTTTGTTACTGCAATATATGTAATAATAAAGGTAGCTTGTGCCCCCAAATGAGGTTTGTGTCTGTAAAGTTATAATCCATCTTGACTGGTTACAATCCAAATGTAAAGTTAACTGGGTTTTGCTATTGAAAAAAGGGCTTTTTCTCCAAGCCCAGTATTAATAGAAATGCTGCCCTTTCTCTCAAAGTCCTTGAGAATAAGTGTTTTGTTTGGATTGACACATTCCCCCTAAAGTGTTTGCAACCCAAAGAGCTATTTATAGGTATGTCTATGCTAGTTATCACTGTCATGTCTGAACTCCTCACAAATATGAATGCATTTATCTCTGCACCACCACTGTGAAGTACAGAACCAGCATTATCTCCACTTTACAGAAGCTCACGCTCAGAGAGATCAAGTGGCCTTTCCCAGAGTGATCTAAGGAGTCCATGGCAAAGCCAGAGAGAACAGTTTTTCTGATTCCCAGTTTTGTTTCTGAACTATCAGATTAACCTTGGGCTGATCCAGGAACAGTGAAGCTGATCCCAAACTGACCAGAAACAAAGTGAAACTAACTGGAGTTTCTCTTCATTTCCCCAATCAGAGAGGATTTTACAAGAAACAAACAGCACAAAAGTAGGTGCTGCTATTCATTTCTTTAATACTTTTAATTTCAGTGCCAATTTTGCAGAGCACAAATTCCAGAAGTAGTCACACAGTCCTTGCAGTTTATAACCTAAACGATGCTTAAAGGCATATTTGATTTTTTAAAATACAATTTGATTTTAATAAAATAAATAATAACACAGGTAAGGCCATTTAATGTTTAAAATGCCAGTATTAGCCTGGAAATTCACCTCAAAGTAGGGTTGCCAACCCTCCCGGTTTCGCCCGGAGTCTCCCGGAATCGGGCTCTCTCTCCCAGAGGCTACTGAAGCCAAACCGGGAGATTTTAGGCCACTAAAAGTCCGGCGGTGCAGCGGGGCTAAGGCAGGCTCCCTGCTTGCTCTGACCCCGCGCCACTCCCGGAAGTGCCCCCTGGCCAGAGGCCACACCCCTCACCC